TTCAGAATATTTTTTTATAAAACTTTATCTGAATTGTATTTTGTTTTATTACATTATATTATTGAATTTCATTTGATCTGTGGTTGTATTAATCTACCATATACATCTGTAATTTTTTATGATGATTCAAGCAGTGTTTATTCAGTTAATATTTGGATTTAATTTTGTTTGCTTTAATATATGCTACATTACTAAGTTTATCCACACACATACTATGTACACTGCGAAAAAAATGGGACAGTTCTATATCTCCTGTTCTACTGGGCCGATTGACAAAATTAAAATTGCGTGTTTCATGTCTCAAAAGCACAACTTAGGGTATGTATATATTAGATTTATAATATGTAGCATCATTCTAACATAAATATTTTGACACAAAATCGGACCTTTTTTTAAAATGACATGCCACTTTTTTCAATGTTTTGATTCTACGACTCAAATTATGCCTAAATATTAAATTTTGTAAAATTTGGTGTTAAATTTACAAAGAAATTCAAAATTTTATTTTGGCGTATTTTTCTCAGTTTTCGCTAAGAATAATTTACTTGGTGAACTTTTTAATTTATAGCAACCCATTTTCCTTTTCTTTTTTTTCATTGTGAAAGAGCAGGGAAAAAGTCATTCTTCATACCTTTAAATAATTTTAACAAAGTGCGTATTATCATTTGGCGTTATTATCTTATCGCTCAAAAAAAAAAAAAAAAAAAAAGGATGCCAAATTTCAAAATGCTCCAATATGTAAATTCATGTATTCTTAGAAAATTCTAAATAAAAATTCTAATTTTTTGCAGGTGTGCCTAAAAATACATCTACTTTAAGATGATGTTAAGAATTTTGTAGGTTATAATACAAAGTTGTTTTTCGAAAAATTTATTTAAAAAATATTTCAAAATACAAATTTTAAAAATAAATCATAAAAAATAGGTGAATTTGCAATGAACCTAAATTTTGATCTGTGAAAGAAAGAATAAAATAAGTGTAATAAAAAAAGAGATATTAATAAATATATACCAAATTGAATTAACATTGAGGAGCTAATGTTTTAAAAACTACTCGTGCAATTTTTACAAAACATGGAAAAAATTGGCATGTCATTTCAGATTTGTGACGAAATGCATATATTAGAACAATGCTCTCTCTCTCTCTATATATAATACATATCCTAAGTCATGCTTTCGAGACATGAAAAACGCAGTTTGAATTTTGTCAATTGGCCCAGTAGAACAGAAGATATAGAACTGTCCCTTTTTTTTTCACAGTGTACATTAATTATTAATATAATTTTTATCATATTTAAAAGTATTTTGATAAACAAAAACTTTCCTTCACTACTCGGGGTTTTCTCAGTATAAAAGTGTATGAAAATTAAAAAATGAAATTAGCTAAAGAATGTAAAATTTAGAATAGCCAATTAAATGCTAATATGCTTTCTATCAGAATTGAATTTACAAATAGCTCAATAACCTGAACTATGCATTATAATGTGAATTAAAGTCAGTTTTGAGTTCCTTTGAAAAGGTTGTCATTGCATAGCATGAAATCCTCCTGGTGTTTGTGATTTCAAAGTTGGCACTATGATTTTGTCACTTCCTTCCCTGTCCCAAACTGAAATTTAGACTGAGAGTTGGTGTTTTAACTTGAGTGGCATGATCAATAATGAAAGTATCTGGCTATGTATCTTTTTTGTCATTTCATATGCATTACCATTTTATTTAATATATTTCCTTATTTATTTAAATGATCTATGAAGGAAAACAGAGATTAAATTAAATGATTACACAAATTTAGGTTATAAAATCATCAGAAAGGACACATCAGAACAGGATTTCTAGAAAGTGTATAAACAAGCACTGCCTTGGTGTAGGAACTTGATATAGTTATGATTCAGACATGTTAAAAGTTAGACAAGAGGATCATTCATCGTATTCCAGAAATGCACAGACAACAATTTCCTTGATAGTGTCTGACAAACGTGACACACAAGATTACAAATTATATCAAATTTTTCCATTGCTTATGCTTATATTAGGTCACCTGATCTCTCATCATGCTCTAATAACATTTTATCCTTTTGAAGTATTAGTGTCATCCAGATCATCTTAATGAACCCACTGCTTCATTAGCATAAGCATCTCTTTTGCTAATATTCAGCATTTCATTCAAAATCTGATATTCATTTTTTGTTGCAGTTTCAGGTAATTGTTAAAATGGCAAACATTGTTAAAAAATGTGGTATGGTTAGAGATGTGCTTTTCACTTATGAACTGTTCAAAGAAACAATTAATTTTACTGAGGAAGTGAAAGCCCAATTTACGAAAAAAGAGCGCTAGCACCTTTAAGAGGTTTACCCATTGAGAGCTGTTGTTGGAAGCATGCCAAGAAAGTTTGATTCCTGTTTTAGGGAAGAAAAGAATGTAACGAGAGTGGCAGGTGGTGTTATTTAAATCCATGGTAGCCAAATTTAAATCAAGCAAATATTTTTTTAATGTACCTTGTTTCGGAACATTTTGCTTTCATCTCATATTTTTTCATATGATGTTTTCTTTATACTTAAAAAGGCAGATAGCCTTCATGTGCTTCGTTATATTCAAATAATCTAACTTTTACACTTAAAAGATCTCGTGAAAATTCTAGAATAAATTACTTTCAAATTAACATTATTTAAAATAAAAAATATAAATGTTTTAGAATGTAGCGATTCTTAGTGAACAGTTTACTTGTTTAAAATAATAAAATCTATTATAATCTTCATTATGAGAATTAATAAAATGCAAAGTAAAAGCTTCCAATACAAATACAAAAGGGAATACTAATTCAAAGATTGAAAGAGAAATTCAGTGTGCTCCGTAAAGGAAAGTTGCTAAGATTTTCTTTTCCCTCATTAGCGTGATATCGGCATATCTGAAAGTGGATTATGTTATGTCAAAATGGCCTAGCTTTTTTGCTTTGTAGGGGAAAAAGGAAGGCTATTGGAATGTTTTTTTTCACCGTAATATGGTGATCAATATATTCTAAAATGTTGCTAATGGCCTAGCTTTGCCTACCATTCCCTGAAGCACTCCAGAATTCTGCTGTCCATAGACAGACAGTATACATGAACGTATAAAAAGCTAAAACTGTATTACTGTTTATGTTCTTAAGATCATATCATTAGGTTCTTATATGAGGGCTGTAAATTAATTAATGGCAACATAGGTATAAATCAATTTTTAATGAACTTGCAAGTACAATTGCATTACATTCCTTCTATGTAATCACCAGCAAAGCTTATACCTTTTGCCAAATGTCAGGAAGCCGTTGTAGACCAGTGGCAAGGTGTTGATTGTTGATGTGAGCGGCCGAGCGCCCGTGCAGATGAAACATCATGAAATCGGTGACTTCGAAGGGGTTCCTTCAACTTCGTAAATAGATCGAAGTCACAAGGCCTCGTGTCAGGTGAGTAGGGAGGGTGTTCCAGTATTTCCCACTGCCACCATCGCAAAAGGAGAGTGACATTGCTTGCGACATTGCAACGAGCGTTGCCATGCAATACGATAGGGAGATTGGTGTGCAATAAATGTGGACGTGTGCGCCGCATAGCAGGACACAGATGGTGCTATAGAAATCGGCAATAGTAATCTGCATTGACAGTTTGTCCTTTAGGTACAGCATGTGTAAGAATCACACCGTCCCAGTCGTATGCCATAATCACCATAACCTTCACCCGACTGGGTTTCTGTCGAAATTTCTGTGGACATGGCGAACCTTGGTGATGCCATTCATCTGATTGATACTTTAATTCAGGCTCATAGGCTCGTGCCCATGTCTCAGTAATGGCAACAATATGCTGCAGAAATGCGTCTCCTCTATTGCAGTATCTCTCCAAGTGGGAGCCAGCTAGTGCATGCCGGTGCCATTTCTGTACTTCAGTTAGTCGATGTGGAACCCAGCAGGAAGCAATTTTCCTCATGTTGAGAGATTTATTCATTATGTGCCACACCATTTGATGACTCAGACGAACATCTAAGGATAATTCTCAGACAGTCTATCAGCAGTCTATGGTAAGGAGACCACTCAGGATGCCAATCTGCTCTTGAGGAATGGAGGGCCAACCTGTGCGTTGCAAATCCGCAATCTCATTCCGACCTGAACGAAATGTTTGAACCCATCGTGCTACTGTCATGTATGGTGCCACAGGCTTCCACTAATCGTTGATGGCATTCTGTTACATTTTGCTATGGGCAACCTTGATTTTAAGCCTTAGACCATTGATCATCTTTTGAAAACATGCTTTAGAGCGATGGAAACGAAACTCCTCACTTTAACGGCCACACAACTACCCTTCTAAGCAGATCGACTGTTTTTTGCACTCTACACATCGACAACAGCGCCATCTCACTGCTCCCATATCCTATTTGCTCATGCCTGCCCTTCAGCGAGTTTCAAGGTTAAGTTTCCACTATTTAATTTACCCCCCCCGTAGATGTTCTTAGCATTCCTGGCCCCTTTTTCTTATATAAATGTTACATAATTGCTTATTTTCTGGTCCTTGTTATTATCCATTTATCTAAAGAATTTATGGGCTTCTAGCTGTTGCTCTGTTGGTTAAAACTATGCCAAAAAATCTCTTTGATAAAGAATATAAGCTTTTAGTAATATACTTTTTATGATTGATAGCAGCAATTTTAAGGATAGCATGCTTATACGAATGAAATGAAATTGTTTTGTACTTGCTTTCTTTCATTATGCTATTAACACATTATTTTTGGTCACTGTAATGCATAAAATGCTTACATTTTTAATTATTCATTTGTATAGATAATGGTTATATGTTATATAACTTTGCTGTATGAAGGCCATGTATTAACTTTGTTAGATTATCAACTTTAAATTCATAGATTTTTACATTTATTTCGTATTTTTCTTATTTGTACCTGAATTGAAATTTCCTTCCTTTTATACACATTAAAAATTTATTTTGGAAAAAATACAATAATGAAAAGTTTTGTATTTATTTTCAGCGGAATTTACATTCCAGAAGAATATCACAGGCATTTTAAAAGATATCTTGATCATAAAAATACATGAAGTAATTGTTTTTGACATGGAGAATAGTTTTATGAAGTGCCAGTCAAGTTTGTTTTATAAAATTGAATTGTTTTTACCAATAAAGATAATTTTAATAAAACTTGACAGTTTTCTGCAAATTTTCAAAGCAGCATGGATCTCAAGTTTCATTATATCTTCTATTTCAAAGTTTTCTTAATTAGTTACTTCATCGAAGATTTCCTTAGAAAATCAGCTGTGCCTGAATTTCTGCAGGAAACATTTTAATATTCTGTAATTCATAGTCATGCAAAGAGCACATTTTTTCTTCTGTTGGATTATTTTATATAAGTAGAGCTGTGATATGGATTTTAGAAAAAAAAAATTTTGTATTTATATTTTTTCTTATACTGTGTATCATATACAGTTATGGCTGTTTCTGATCTGTGATTAATAAAATTTTATTTAAATTTGCTTTATAAATGATCTATAAAAATCTGGATATACTGAATAAAAAGGAAATTATGATTTAGCTGAGATTGCTATAAATACGCATTGGCTTCCCATAGAAGATGACCTTGATTCTTAAAGATATTTTACATAAAAAAAATACATATATACAGTGGTGGCCAAAATTGTGGACACTTTTGGAAATCTTTATGTTTTTGAACTTTGTATGCTTATAGAAAACATGTTTCACAAAATGCAAACTTGTATATATCATTTTAAAGAGAATTTATTACTGAATTCAATACAAAACACAAAATTAAATTATTTGGAATACAAAAAAAGTTAAATGATAATAGTTATCGATATACATTAGATAGTGATGATTGCAGTGAGTTATCAGTACTTAGAAGGGTACCCTTTATTTTTTATTACAGCTTCGACGTTTCATTGAGCTGACAAGAGTTTTAAGCTCTTCTTTTGTTATTACATGATGCCAGGAAACAATTATAGCCTCAATTAGTTCCCTTTTATTTGATAGGCGCCTCATTCGGACAAGAGTTTTCAAACGGTCCCACAAATTTTCGATAGGATTGAGGTCAGGACTGTTTCCTGGCCATGACAACAATTTAATGCTCTTTGTACGAAACCAGTCTTTCGATATTTTGGCCATGTGGCAAGGAGCAGAATACTGCTGAAAAATAAACTAAGCATTGTTGGGAAAGAGATCTCTGATGTAAGGTAGATGGTTTGATTCTAGAATAGTGTCAATGTATTTTCTGGCATTCCGTGTCCCATCGATGACATGAAGGCAACCAATACCATCTGCTGATATGCATGACCAAATCATAACACTAACTGAGTTCTTCATAGTTACTTGAATGCAGTCAGGATGTAGCTCTTCTCCTATTCTATGTCTTACATATTTTCGCCCATCACTACCGAATAACAATATCTTAGTTTCATCACTCCATATAACTTGTGACCACTGATCATCCGTCCAATTAATGTGTTCCTTTGCCCACTCTAGTCTTTTTTTTTTTTTTTTTTTGCTGAAAATTAAGATAAGGCTTTTATTTTTTTTCATGGAATTCTACCTCTCAATCCAACATCTGTTAATCTTCTCCCGATTGTTCTTGAACTGACAGAAACACCAGCATCATTCAGATCACTTCTGATGGCCACTGATGACATTTTTCTATCTTGGAGACATAGTCTTTTTATTCTTCTGTCATCAATAGATGTGGTGCACCTTTTTCAGCCTTTTCCTTCTTTGTTTTTTATTGAATTTGTCTCCTGATATCGTAAACAAAACTTTCAGACTCCAGATGCAGTCACTGAACCACCCACCTGTCTTGCAATTTCAGCATAGGAAAGACCACTTTCTCGTAACACAATAATATTACATCTCTTTCTAGGTGTCCAATCTACTCTTTTATTTGATGTCATTGCTTCTTGACTAAATAAAATATTAAAAATTTTTACAAAACTTCCTACTTGTAATTGCAGTGTATAAGAAACAGGTCCTCCTTCTACAGAACAAAGCAAAGTAATGAATTGTTTCAAGTGTAAACATGATGTCAGCTTCTACTGGCAGTTACTAACATTTGATTGGTTCTCAGAACAAGAACAGTGATTGGCCAGGAAAGCTAGATATTACAAACCACTTCATAACTGTGTTTTTTATTTACATTAAAGTACATATAACTTTTTGTATTGCAAATAATTGAATTTTGTGTTTTGTATTGAATTCAGTAATAAATTCTCTTTAAAATGATATATACAAGTTTGCATTTTGCGAAACGTACCATTTTCTATAAGCATACAAAGTTCAAAAACATAAAAATTTCCGAAAGTGTCCACAATTTTGGCCACTACTGTATTAGCATACATTAAGGATATTCTACGGTCATACTTCAGCATTGCATTTCAGTATGTGCAAAATTCCTCTGCCTGATTGGCATGTGTACAGTTTGGTTACAGAGTAAAACAGACCCATTTACTGAAACTACAAATTTAGTGAACTATAATAGAACAAAATAAAAAGCTGCATCAAATCCGAAGGGAAGAGCACAATTTGCAATGTTAAACGAGGTTCTTTTGAATCAAATTCTTTCTCCTTTCCCTGCTGCTATTCCAATAAAAGAAAACCAGTATGAGCAACTTAACGATTAATCATTATCAATATTACAGGCAAGAGTAATCATGATTTCTTCCTTGTAATCTATTAGCAAAACAATGCTAAATGGAATTCCATATACCCATATCCTTAGTGAATGTATTATCCTGAACAATGACTGGAAAACGTGATAATCTGAAGATGCTAAAAAAGAGTAAAATATGTTTTCAATGTAATTGGTGATCAGTTATCCAACAGGTGAGTATTATATCAAAAAAGCATTCTATGTTGCCATTTTATTTCAGTTTATTTGTTAAATACGAGTAATTTGTGATACAGTCAAAAGTCGTTAATTCGGACACCCATAATCCGGACCTCAAAGCTACAAACTTTCTGCGCATGCGTCGCATTGACGCATGCGCGTAAGACCTTTACGGCTGCGAATATGCGCATGCGCATAATACGTTTACGCATGTGCGTTTAATGTATAACGGACGGTATAAGCTAAGCTAAAATTATCTAATTCAGTTAATGTTGCAGATTGCGTTGTTCCTTAATCTTCGAATTGGATCCGGCTTATTATTTTTTGCAGACTGTTAGAGCAATTTTATAAAAGTAAGCTTGAACTTTCGATTATGTCAAATAGAATTTCCGATATATATTTACTAATATGTAAAGGATCTACAAAGCGAAAGTATGTTTCGAAGTCCATCAAACAAAAAGTGGAATTGCTGCAAAAAAATGGATAAAGGCATATCCTTCGTTTCTCTAACCATTCCGAAATCTGTTTATCAATTTCACGCTGCTCTGCGGTGGGGGGGGGGGGACGCTGCGGCGTGCGCAATGAATTGGAAGTTGATCTGTCAGCACTATCCTTATCTTCAGGGCAGATGTTTTTATTTTATTTGGCTTATAATTCCTTACTAAATGTAGTATTTCATCTCGATGTACTCCGTCTTTGATATGATTTAAATCAAATTCCTCGTCATTATAATTCGCTTCCGATAGTAAAGAAAGTGACACAGAGGTTATTGAAAACGAAAAATTTTGATTGACAAATTAGTCGGTATTCTCGACACAGCAATTATAGGACTTGAACAGCGGAACTTTGTAACTGAACAAGAAATTATGTCTGTTTATAGAATTAAAGAGAAAGTATTATCACATAAAAACGAAGCAACTTACATTGAAAGAAATGTTTAATAAAGTAAACAAATAAATATTAAGCTTTTTTTTTGTAAATTTTGATACCCTTTAGATCATAATTGTTCTTTATTTCATAAATTACGGTTTCATATTTTTAATTTTATAATTTCTGCATGCCATCTTACCAGATTTAAACTGATGATCTATAATCCGGAAAAATCGATAATCTGGAATCGCCGAAGTCCTGACGAGTCCGGATTAACGACTTTTGACTCTAGAAAGCTTTGCACTCGCCAATTTGTTGTTTTTAGATTTCTCATATTAGCAAATTCATACAGTTTGCTTGTATTAACTTTCTCAGCTTGAAATGTTGCTAGTATAAAGTACATTTCTTCTCTTCATACTGATATTATTTTTACTCACTGGTGATTAAGCAGTAGAGAAAATCTGTTTTCTGTGCACGAATAGCCAACACTGAATGTAATTGATAGAAACTAACCCAGAAAAGACTGCATTGCCTATTTTATGAAAAACGTGCTGCTTTTCAGAATTTGCCCACTGTGTGAATTTGACAGGCAATGGTGTCATAATAGTACCTATATACTTGGCCAATTTCCTCACCCAGATATGAAGTGAACTGTGAATGTGTTAAGTCAACGCTCTTGTTACAAACAATTTTGGAACCTTGAACTAAAAGTGAAAAGAAGTAAATGTCAAAAACTTGGTTTGCCTCTCACTTTGGAAAAAATAATGTATTTGATAAAATTAATTTCGTTAACTTAAAGACCACTGAGAAAAAACTCGCAACTTAATATTTTCACAGGAACCTGATAAAGTTCCCTCTATTTTAAGAAAATATTATATAAATTACAAGCAGAAAATTTTTTTCTGTATGTAGAAGAGGGATCCACATTGAAGTCTTCCAAGATGCAAATAATTCTTTTCTAAAGTAAACTTCACTCCAAGTTAAATATGCCTGTTTCTTAGTGATGTTATAGTTAAAATCAAATTTGATTTCTGCCAGATACTTTTCCCTGACTATATATAATACAGAGTTCGTACAATTCTTTGGTTTTTTAAATCGATTTTAAAGTCCTTAATTTTGGCCAAAATTGGTAGAAGGTCCTTAATTTTAATCATCTGAAATTTCTATCTTGTTTTTATGACTGCTTTTTTGAGTGTGGATTATCATTTTCAAGGAATATTTTTGACGATTCAGTGACAAATATGATTATCTATAAATTTTTCGACCAATTTTTGTTTGATAAATTTAACTAAAATAATGGTAATATATTGAAATCATATTTAAGGAATAACATTAAAATAAAACATTTTTGTTTTTTCTGTCCTGACATTATTTTCCATTTTGGAAACTTATTGTACAGTATTTTGAATCTGAAAAATGACCAAGGTAATAAATGCTATAAAACACAGTTAACAAAACAGTTCATAGCAAAAGCCAAATAGCTAATGTAATCAAAAATTTCTTCCTTTTAACTTATGGTAGTAATTTTTACCATGTAATTGTCTCAGAATAGTAAGTTTTCTCTATAAAATTTCACATTTTTTCCACCGATTTTTTTTTTCTCTCAAAATATTTCTGGCTTTTTTTTTGTTTTTTGTTACACTATTGATAAGGCTAATTTTTCTTTAGGATTTTAAACATTGGAACTTGGAAAGTTTAGAAGGATTTGAAGGCAAGATTTTACAGACCCACAATTCTTAGAAGGCTCCAGAAAAATGTCTTTATTGTATTAACACATAATAGATGTATTTTACAGAAAGTTTGCATTTTGGAAAATTTTTGGAAGGACAATGAACAATGTCCAGATGTTGTACTTTTGATACAAGAAGTCTTTTTCTAACATGTTTATCTTGCCTTTATTTTCTCAACTTTCCACTAGACACAGTATGGAAAACATCAAAAATGTTTCTAATCTTTTTGCATGGACAGGCATTTATGAAAAAGAATTTTTCTATTACTAAAGAAATTGAAAACTGACAGTTTAAAAGATTCACCTTTTATGTCTCAATGGATCATTCACATTTTCTCACATGATGCAATCTCTGTGGATCCTGAATTCTGCCACATAGTACCTTCCTAAATTATGCTGCCTAGGGCTCTCTTAAATTGTGCTCCCAGTGCCTGTCCTAAGTTTTCAAAATTTTGCCATTTCTAGATTTTGTTCAGTGTGTTACTACATTAAAAAAATTCTGCATCATCGGCTCTGAAACTGGCCCTTACCATATATCATTTCATATTTATTTCGAACGCCAAGTCCCCCTTTTTTTTTACATTCTAAATGGATTTGATTTTTTAGAATAACAGAAATCCAAAATTTCTAAAATGAAGAGGAAACATATTGAAGAAAGAAACTGAATATATAAAGAGGGAAAAAATTATTCTTCAGAGATATGTGTACAGTTATTATTATGCAAATTAACCAGTTGTTTATAATTTTAGCCTTTACTATTAAGTTTCCCCACCACATTGCAAATCAGAGTTTTTAAACTGAGGTTTTTTTGATTGTAAGACACTGTTTTGCCCTCTGTCTGGATGTTGCCTTAGTTCCTGCCAACTCTGATAATTTGTAATTATTCATCTTTACATTATTGTTGCTAACATTTGAATTTGTTACGACGACAGAATTACTGAGTCAGCTTAGATTAAAACTAAATTGTGTAGTCTTAGACTATTAGTCTACAATTTTAGTTTGAATTTGATTGTTCCTGCTTAATTGCATCACCACAAGCTATAGTTAATCTAGTCAACATAAGAACATGCCTGTATGTTCTAAATTATTTTTAAATAAAAGGTTTATTTAAACCTGTGTTATATTTATGTAACTTTCAGACATGGCGATTGTTTGCTTCATGTCTATCAGAGGTTTTGGACTACTTAACATAATCAAGTAAAACCTCTTTAGGTATACTGCTAAGAGATTGGGAATTTAGGAGAAAAAGCACACAGAAACTAGTGGGAACATTAGTTTCTGTATTGAAACAGATTTCTAATTGTTAGAAAAGATGTTTAAAAAAAAAGAAAATTAATATAAATTATGCCAAATTGTCTGGGAAGGCTTCAAATTAAAAAGATGCATAAATATGTTGTGTTGTTGTTGCTGCAAAACATTGTAGCTTTTAATGTGGAATTACCCCAATGCTATTTAAGAATCAATGTCATAAATTAAATGTATTTGAAACTGAAATGAAGATTGTGATTTGAATAGTGCTTTTTTAACAAATGTTTTTGTTAAAAAATAAATAGAATTAAATGGTGTCATGTAAATCTATAATGACTAAGGGTACTTAACTACCTAATTTAATTATTTGTAACTAACAAGTTATTGCCTTTCATTAATCCTTACTGTGGTCACAAGATACAGCACAAAAATGTAAAATTTATTCTTTGCATCTAGTGAGGCTTTTGATACAAAATAACTTATCACCTCTGGTGCATTAGTGGCTTATTGGAACCTTAAAATATATTGGCTGGTTTATAATCTCAGAAAATCTATATGAAGCCACAATACTAACTGTGTCAGACAAATGAAGCCCAACTAACTTTCGAAACTTGCCAACCATGCGTACATGAAACAGGCTTTCAGGTTTGTTCTGATCAACAGATCTCTCCCCAGACAAGTAGCAGCACTGGCATTAGCCAATCTTCTGTTACAAATCTACAAATCATGATTCTGATTTTATTTCTCATTTTAACCTATGCCATTTGACATAAAATCTATCTGCTATTTACTAAACTTCTAGACCAAGTATGTAGCAAAATGAGACATAAGAGAAGAAATCAACATAAAGAGCTAACTGTTAGTAAAATATAAATAAAATGTTCCTAAACTTCTTTCAAATATGTCCAACTATTATACGTGTAAAATATTAAATGCTACTCGATAAATTTTATAAAAAGGATTTTATTCTCAAATTTGTTCTATAGTCATGTTTATTCAATTATGTTTAATACGAATGCATTCTATTTATGGATCTATTTTATCCTTAGAGTGAAGTTCAGATATAAGTTGATTGAATTTATTCAGCTCCCATTTGCTGATAGGTCGTTAATTTTTTTCATCAATGGCCCTTAAAAAGTACTTAATTCCATGTGCAGAAATGTGTACGAACCCTGTAATATGGTCTTAAATATTTATAATAAGCATATTCTTATTAGATACCAATGACAAATTCATTTACAATATTTCCATAATGGAAAAATTTAAACTCAGTTTTTGTCTAGATAAGCAACTGAATGATATATCAAAACTTTTGAAGCTTATTAATTCTTAATTTAACAGTAATCATCCAATATGTACGTTAACCTGCTTTGCTGTTTTTAATTTTTACTCCAATTAATTTCTAATTATCAAACATTTTGAAAAATATACTTATTAATAAATTCAGAAAGTAAAATTGCATCACACAAGTGATACAATTAAATTCACATGTATATTAATTTAAAATTCTGTTTAATAATGAAAATGTTTCTCTTCACTGCCTGTTTAAGCAAGTCAATAAATAAAATTAAATTTACTGTATACTGTGAAATACTAACAACCTTTATTTGGGAATGACTCAGCAGTAAAAATAGGAGGAAGTGATATATTACAATAAATTTATAATTATTCCTTAGTTTAGGTAGGAAAGTGCCAATGTCCATTTTGCAAGAAACTTAAATGAATTTTGATCCAGTAATCACTGAATACTGGTAATTTATCTCAGGTCTACTTCCTAGCAAATCGACAAGGTAATTTTTTTTAAAACTTTTAACTATTCGATTAAATTCATACGAAAATGCATTTCATACAAAGGTCAAACAAAGTTTAAACATGTGAAATTATGTTTAAAATTCTAAAATTTATATTTTAGTACAAAAATATGTTTACTAAAATGCTAAATAATCATGTGTATGAAAACATAAATGAGGATCATATTCACTGCTGAAACTATAACTCATATCATTTGTAGGGGCAAAATATAAAAGGACATTTTAAAATATCTTAAATTTGCTTCAGCTTTAAATTTTATGCATGTTAACTGAACATAACAAATGACTGAAAATATTTTATTTTTTACAAAATGTACACAGCAAGGATTACAATGGATATTTTACACATGGAAGACAAGCTGATATATATGAAAATCATCCCCACTGAAATCCGCCAGGTCTGTCTTCAGGTGGAGGTGGTGGTTGTGCAGAATCAGAAGATGGACCTTCAAAAATATATTTTCTGTAAGAAAGAGACAAAATTTATTTCTTGCACTTAAAACAAAATTATTGATTTTTAAAACTTTATACTATAAGCTCTTAACACATTTGAAATATATCATTTAACAGGTTAATCATGTTTTTATCACTAATCCAATACAGTGATACTTAATAAGAATATCTGACAAATAAGTTGACATTATTTTAAAAGCAAAATTTATTTTGTACCACTGTAGTGACCATGATGATAAGCATGGAACAAGCCTAATGGCAAGAATAACTCAAAGTCACAGAATTCTAATTGCTAGAGAATCAAAGTTAGCAACGTGGTCTTCAAGCAGCAGAAGATGCTCTGATTTCACACTCCAAAACCTTTCGTTAAGCACTTCCTTCTTTCTACCTAATTTAAATACTGTGCACATGCTAGAAATTTGCATTCTGGCACAGAAATTAGGCTTGATAGGAAAGAGAGTTAACATAAAATAACAGGTAATAAAACTGAAATGATCTTTACAAACTTCAAATAACAGATGTTCAAATGTTCTAAAATTGTTGTTGATTACACAGCAGAAAATTCATTAATCTTCAATTGAAGAAGAAATGTGCTGTAAAGAAAAGTGTAAGCTTAATACAAAAATATATGCTATATGTTCGCTGGTAAATAAATGTGGCACAGCAACCCAATTCAGTTAGGATAAATAACATATCCTCTACCAAAAGTGTTGTGCATTCTTTCCTTTTAAAGGATGATAATATCTCAATGTAATTAAAGAGCTATAGTTACCTAGATTATTAAATATTAGAGCACTGAGCAAAAAAGAAAGGGCAATTTGATTAATCCTAGCAAGTGCCTGTCGAACACTGGAAGAAAGGTAGCTTCTGTCATATATGTCTAACTACTACTTTGAAATCTGGTTACTCTAAAATCTGTGATTTTAGAGCCATTTATCTAAGCTATCAAGATGTTTCTAGATCACTAAGAAGGGGGGGGGAAATAAATAAATAAATAAACATATATATTTTGGGTGATGGGAAAATTTTCAAAAACATTCATTTAATTTGCAGCAATAAAAGGAGAATGGCACAACCGAAAATTCTACTAATGCATAGCTCTAATAATGATGATATTTTAAAAAAGGAGGGTGGAAGACTTAGTTTAAAATGTGATTTCTCTCGAAAATGCATGTTTCTTGGATAAGATGTGCAGTCAAGAAATAAATGCAAGACTTCATGTTTTTATGGATAATTTGCCAGTTATGAGTAAAATTACAAAAATTATCACATCACAATAAGCTCACTGTGCAAACTGTCAAGTTTCAAAAGAAGTACAAATTAAAAACTGGCACTTTAACCAACCATCTGATCCACTTTAACTGATCATTTGTTAAAACCAAAATTCTTCACTGGATTATCCGAAGTTAAGAATACAAAATAACAGACATACTGATATATAATAAGAACTAACAAATTCATTAAACAAAGCATGGTCAATTTGAGGTATGAAAATTTAAATACGGCTATGTAAACTGTATAATTATATCAAAACTACAAAAATAAGAAGATAAGATTATTTTCTCTCATGAATGACACATAAACTATCATCTATATATAAAATGTATCTAATAATTTAGAATTAAAACTTTTCAGGTAGAAGTTGAAGAATCAATTTTATTTTCAAAATCATAAAATCGAAGCTGAATAACACTAAAATCATACATTATCCAAGGAGTTTTCAGCAGTCTCATTCCTCCGGGCTGATTTGGACATACATCTTCCAAGAAATAATATACATGACCTACTGCAATACCTAAAAGAATTAAAAGATTGCATAACATTTTTCTCCCCCTCTGTATCGAAAGAAAAGTTTATGATGATTTAAACCAGAACATTATAAATATCCATACTATTAGGTGTATTTTATTAATATGCATAAATTTATTTTAAAGGTTACACAGCTATTGTTTTAGTAATTATTTTTCTATCTATAATTGAAATAATCAGAGATGAGAAATATTTAAACTACACAATACAATTTAGTTTATTTAAAGTAATCAATCCTTAATGTCCTCTAGAGTTAAGGAATAAAAGTATTTTTCTATGGCATTAAGCAGCATTAGTACCTTATAGATACATTTAAAATTACGTAAATGATTTTGGAGGGTGCCTAGTCTAAAAAGTCTAAAAAATTGTAAAGGGATTAATGCTGCACCTTTATAAATACTGAAACTTTCTATCAACTTATCAGGTTTTAAATCTTTCAATATTGTAAAATGTGACCACAACATTTGATAGAGACATGTGACTTATTTGTTATGTCTAAAATTACAACAGAATCATAAGAAGAAACCTTTTATTAATACAAAGTTTAACAGATGGCAGCAACTCATCTTATGTTTGATTAAGCCAACACTTTTGGCTTAAATCAAAGATAATGGATAAATTTAAAACTCATGAATAAGTACAGCCTAATTGTATAACTAGTGTGCAAGCTGGCTCAGAATAATTATTTAAAATATAACTGTCAGCATAAACAAGTCTAATGGCAAGAATAACTCAAAGCCACAGAATTCTAATTGCTAGAGAATCAAAGTTAGCAACGTGGTCTTCAAGCAGCAGAAGACTCTGATTTCACCCTCCAAAATCTTTCGTTAAGCACTTCCTTCTTTCTACCTAATTTGAATATTGTGCACACGCTAGAAACTTGCATTCTGGCAGGGAAATGAGGCTTGATAGGAAAGAGAGTTAACATAAAATAACAGGTAATAAAACTGAAATGATCTTTACAAGCTTTAAATAACAGATGTCCAAACGTTCTAAAATTGTTGTTGATTACACACACAGCAGAAAATTCTTTAATCTTCAATTGAAGAAGAAATGTTCTCTAAAGGAAGGGGTAAGCTTAATACAAAAATATATGCTATATGTTCACTGGTAAATAAATGTCGCACAGCAACCCAATTAACCACTTGCCTGATTATCCCGGGTTCGTATATATTGCAGTTAATTATTATCCCGAGAAAACTCGGGCAAAGCAGAATTTGTCAGTACGATTTGTTTTATCATGGTTTCACTCGGCTTGGAGGAAATGAAAGGAAATATTCAGCTTTTATTGGCAATTCGCCAAGTTTTGATGGTTTCGCGGTTCTTTTGGCGGGACTGGTCACGTGTTTTCCCTATTGTCTAGTATACGTCGGCTTGTGGATTAGTAATGTATAAGAATGATAATTGCGTTGAAAAAAGTAACAATAATGGCGATGATGCAAGATAGCGAAAGCGATGAGTTTTCGGATAGTGATTATGAAAAGGTGGACATTTTCCAGATGTTATTCCTGTTACTGAAAAAAAAAAATCAAAATCCAATGAGACAAGTGTACTCCTGTGCTCCCGTAAAAGAGATTCCAGAGGCTAAGCCAAGTAAGAAAAAGAGACCAGATACCAGTGTACAGAATGTCAGGTCACTTTGCGTTGTCCCTTGTTTCAAAAACTCTCATACAACGACTAATATTTAATTTTTTTTGATTTGCCCGAGATAACTCGGGATAGTAAACTAATATAAAAACTAAATGCCGAGATAACTCGGCATCAAATAAACTAAATGCCCGAGATAATTTTTTTTATTTGCCCGAGATAACTCGGGATAGTAAACTAATATAAAAACTAAATGCTTTTACACCTGTAAAAAATTAAAAATTCAACTTAAAACCTATACATTTTGTTTTGTTTCGTTTCCTAATATTTAATAATAAAATAAAAAATGTGATGATTTTTTGCAATTTTTTTTCAAAAAAATGTGTAAGGGAAGCGGTTAAGTTAGGATAAATAACGTATCCTCTACCAGAAGTGTTGGGCATTCTTTTCTTTTAATGGATGATAATGTCTATAGTTACCTAGATTTTTAAATATTAGAGCACTAAAAGAAAGGGCAATTTGATTAATCCTAGCAAGTGCCTGTCGAACACTGAAAGAAAGATAGCTTCTGTCATATTGTGCTTGAAGATATTTAATTAAATTAGAATAAGAGATAAAATATACATTAGTCTTTACCTTAAAAAATAAAACTGAAAAACCTAATTTGTTAATAAGGGAATGAGATGCCAAGGCATGTATTTTATCAGGAAAGGATGTTTTTCATATAGAGAATTTTTGCAAACATTTTTATAGAAATATTCTCATTTTGAAAATCAGAATATTTCTGTAAAAAATATTTAAAAAAAATTCTTACTATGAAAAATGTCCTTGTTCATTTTTTGCAAAAGTATCTTAATTAAAGGAGTGTGATATTAGAATGGATAAAATTCATTATTAACATTAGAAAAAGTCACTAAACTTACCCATAAGATCAACTATGACAGAGTTACCAAGTAATAATGAAAATGCAAGTAAAACCCATGGCAAGTATGGAGCTTGAAAATTCAGCAGGCCAAAAAAATTCATACGTACATAAGGATTCCGACGACTCCATACATAAACTAACATAATAGTGAAAGCTTGACCCAAAAATAACAAATTAACAAACATAGCAATAATCTGTAACTAAATTAAGGAAACAAAATATAAATAAAGTATATCCTGTATAAAAATAAATAAGAACATGGTGGTAAAGATTTAAAAAAAAAAATTTTTTTTAGAAATTCTCATATTCATATTAATTGAGATACTCTCATATTTTTCATACAAATATTTAATTCTTTCTGTTTATCCACATCCGCTGAGAAGTATTCATGGGGCAATTCACTATGTTGGCAAAATGCATTTATGTGACAACCCAGGTATGCATGTCTCTGTAGCAGATGAGAGCTAATTTCCACCTTAAAATTCGGTTAATTTCCAGATTAGTTTAAGGGCAATTAATTTCGTTTTGGCATTTTGCAATGATTCACTACAAGCGTTATTTAATTTTTCAAATTGTTGCCACCAAATATTATTGCCCTGTATTATACTTAAAGAAATTAAATAACGAAGAATCTGCATAAATGTATGTATGTTTCTTGCACTATGATAAAACAACAGTACCTAGAACCATCAAATTTTGAATAACGTAATTCTCCTGTGAATATCAAGAAGCCTAAATTTGAAATTTGATATTTTACTATCGATTTCATATTTTATAAAACTTTAGTGAATTTTTTATTAACAAATTCAAGGGTTTAAAAGCGAGCCATGGCAACGTTGTACAGAAAAAACATTTCTATCTCCAGCGCATGAGACTGTGTATCGAAAATTCTAAAGATATGCTCATTTTAAAATTTTGCAATACTGCTCTTGAACTTAATTTTATCCTTCAAGTGCAAAGAACAAGATATTTAATAAATAAAGGTAACACACAAAATGTTAAAAAATGCCCCTGTGGATGTAATTTAAAATCTGAAACCTTTCAGATTTTTCTTCTTTTTTTTAATTTATTAATTTTTTCATTCAAGTACATCATTTTTCTTTGTGAGGAGATGAAATGCAATTGTGGCATTTGCCATCTGATGAGAAAGAAAGTGTTGCATTTCTTGAGAAATATGGAATTTTACTGAAAAAGAGAATATGAAAATTTGCATTCGATGAAAATGTATTTCTTAACCGAACGAATTTTATGGATTGAAATTCATGGCCAACACCAAATTTCTCCTTTTTTTCTAAACGCAAAAACAGATTGCTATGTACATGGGAAGAAGGGCAGTGTGTGCAATATCAAGTTCTATGTTATACCGAGGTTCTGAAGTTCTGTTACGTTTTTTGAAGCTAAAATATCACTGTGTACACACCGAGAACAAATGAAAAAAAATTATGGATGTCTCTACACTTTTAATTTTGTTAATTGGTTGCTGTTTTATGGAATTCTTCATGTGCCTCCATTTTTAAAAATGGATGTTATTTTTTGTGCCTTAACTTGAGGAAAAAAGTGTTGGCAACAGTTTGTGAATTTTCAGGAGAGTGTACAGATAATCAGAAAGTACCAATAATCAATTTCTATTTGAAGTGCTAATAAATAAAGCCACATTCATAAGCAAAAAGCATACCAAAATAAAATTTTACATGCATTTATATATTTTGGGATTTAGAGTTTTAAGAGCATTTTAAGATTAAAAAAAAAAAAAATTATGGTTATTCATTCATTGCATTCTGACACAAGAAGCATATTTCAAATCAGTATTCAAAGAAACCCAAATTCTTTTACAGTCTATAAGCTTTCATTATAAAAATAAATGACCTGATGAAGTTGTTAACTTCCATTATTCCACTGGGTGCCAACTTTACAACATGAGAATTGAGAAAACTTTTTCTTCGCTTTTACTGCATCAGTTAATAATGAGAGGTTACTGAAATGAAAATTCCTTTTTAAAATCCTTTTCAACTGGTCACATCTTTTATCCCTTTCTTCAGTGTCCTTTTTTTCTAATATAAAATAATGCATGAATTAAAGGTTACAATTAGCTGCCTATCTATTTCTCTTGGAATTATACTGCTTAAGGCTCTGAAATTTCTCTTCATTCTATTAAAAAGAAAAGCATTATTTTATATGAAACATATCAAATGTATTTCTATATTTCAACATCTTGCATACTGCTCACAGATTTATGAGAAACAGTCCCCTGAACAATGATAGATGATGAAGAAACGAGAGGTAACATGCAAAACAGGAATTACACATATAAAAATCACAGGATTATTAATATATATTAGTTAACCTTTTGATAGTCTGGTTTGAACACTGGTAACATAAATATAACTAAAACTCAAACAGCCAATAACCCTATCTGAATTAAGATTTCATCCTGAACACAACAGACTTTGCTTCTTTGACTGCTTTCTTCTTACATAAAAAATGTAAAAATTCTTGAACAGGCACCATTAATTTTCCAAGATATTTGTGGCAACAAAATGTTTATCTTCCATCTACAATGTCATTCTTCATTACAGATAATCTATTATATTGTACTTCAACTACGTAGGTAAGTGAGAAAGTTAGTTGCACTCTTTCGTATAAATTTTCTTCAAAGGCTATTTAGATGAAATTGTTTGGCAACAACACTTCAAACATTTAGCTGTATCGTGTAACGTAGTGGCTTTCACGAAGCAATTTTAGTTTGTCTGATAATCAGTCCAAAACATGTCTCGAGAGCTGCAAGTAGCTTCCAAATTGGTAAAATGCCTGCAGTGAGGTTTTTTTTTTTTTTTTGGTGTGTGTGTGTGTGTGTGTGGGCAAAAAGGTGTAACTGCTGTGAAATTTATCAGCAGTTATATGAAGTTTATGGTGAAAATGCAATGTCACGCCAAGGTGCGAATATTGAGAATACACGTACAGATATTGACAATGCTCAGCTCGAGGGAAGACTGCCACAAATTCTGGAATTGCTGTTCGCGTGAATGAATGCATTCTTGCAAACAAACACATAACAATAGACGAAATCTCTAATGAACTGGATATTTCTTATGGAAGTATGTATAAAATTATTGGCGATCAGCTTCAATTTCATAAAGTTTGTGCTCGACGGGTATCTCGTCTACTGACGGAGGAACATACAGCGAAGTGTTTTGATAGTACGTTAAAATTCCTGCAACATTACCAAAAGGAAGGAAATGTGTTTTGGGGCAAAACTGTGACCAGAGATGAGTCTTAGATTCACCACAATGCCAAAAAAAGGAAGACATAACAAAAACTGCAACATCCCGTGAAATGTACTGAGCATGTACGTACTTAGGTTGCCACATATATACATTTTGGTGACATTCACAGGTTTCCAATCTTAGTGATACAGATCATTACCTTGTGAATACTTTTCAGGGTATGCAGACAGTCAGAAAGAATTATCATAAATGATGATACTTAAAATGTTCAAAACTAAATTACATTTTAAGTGGTGCAGGACTTTTGAACATCACTATAATTTATTTTTGGAAGTGTCTTTTTCTATTTATCAAAAATAATATTTTTTTTTTACTTATATCTGAAATGAATATTCTACTACACACTCCCCTTCTCTTAGCATGTAAACACACAAAGCACTGAGAAATACAAAATCATTCCTCCATATTATTTTAATCTTATTACTTACATTGTACACATATTACCTGATATCACACAACAGAACGTTTCCACAATTTGCTTTTGATCATGCTCTAAACTCCAAAAAGCAAATAAAAAATAGATTGTTTTCAGAACACGTTAAAGATTTTTTTACAAGAATATTCAACATCTTTTTCAAGCAATGCTAAACCATATTGTTACAAAATGTCCAGCCATGGTAAGATAGCTTCCCTGCAAGGCAGGTTTATGGTATGGTTGCCAGAATATAGCAAGGGAAGGAAGGGCTGCCATATTTGGCACAATTTTGTCACCAAAAATTTGGTGACAAAATTGGCAATTATGTTATTTGTTTGTTTTATTATGTTTTGTTGTATCGAATTTGGCTTCTGATCAAGGATTGTACTGCCCAGAACGTATGGTTCTTGATAGGGAGCAACATTTCGAAATGCCCAGCCACAGTAAAATAACTTTCCCACAAGACAGATTTAGGGTTGCTATATTTGGTCTGAAATCGCCCATTTGGTAACAAAATTGCCGATATGCCATAGATGGATGGAGAACATTCTGGAACGAATTACCGGGTTTCCACTCAAACAGGAGAATGAAATTCCCTAACTTTTCCAGGTATGTTTTAAGAAAATTCCAGTCTAACCACATAGGTTGTGCTGAGAGGTAAACTAATTATGGTACACTTGAAAACACAAAAATTTGGCAATTACACATGACATACATAAATATACATATAAAATAATCCCCAGACAATTACTATTATATAGCTATAATATCTGGATTAAAAAAAAAAAAATGTCTTTTTATTGCAGACATTTGCAGCTAAACAAGAGATAGAAGTATATTTAATGATATTATTTTTAAATAAATTCAGGTATTTGATATTTATTTAGCAGCGTACACAAGTAAAAAATATGTGCATTAAATTTCGTGATAGTATGTTTGACTAGACTGCTAGAATTAGTTTCAGGATTATGCCAGAGAAAATTATCTGACATTTGGAAATATTATTAACTAATAATAAATAAATTTAGAGGGAAAAAGCCACATTAAATGGTATGAATAACATTAAAATAAATTATTTAAAAATTGAATTATAATAATCAACAATATTTTGGTGAATATAGTTATATTAAATGGTTAGCCTATACGACTGATTACTGTTTTCTTACTTTGCTGCAAAATGGCAAATAAAGGACTTGTTAAAATCCTAGTTCACGATGCCGCCTTGGCACGATTTTAAAAGTTGTTGCCAACACCAAAATAACCTGTTTACTATTTATCATAAATCCCATGTGCACCGTATACTAGGATTAAACCGAATTTGTTTTATACAAAGAATATGTATTATTAAGAAGGAAAACTTCTCCGCAACAGGAGTGCCTCCATCCCAATGTAGAGGTAAACATCTGTGCATGCCCAAAATATTTGTTTCCAAAGCTTAAAGCCGACGTCGAAGTTCAAAAGTCACATTTATCAAGAGTTTATAAAGCAAATATCATTTCAAATTTCTCTAAACTTTAAAGGAAAATAAAATATTTTTTCGTGCAAGTAAATTCATTCTTAGATTAGTTATTTTGAGAGGGGAAAAAAAAAAAAAAAGAGACAAAAATTAGAAATTAAATTATTGCGAAAAGTTAATGAAAACGTTTCATCAAAGAACGTTTCTTTTTAACGTGTTCCTCAATTTCGTGTACATATAGTGGAGGGGGAAATTCTTGCCGTCTAATCCCTTGCCAAATTTTTCCCTCCGCTTTCTAGTGACGTAATAGCAAACTAATTTACATTATGTCTATGGTTTTATACGAGAATGGGAAGGTTTTTCTTTTAGTTCAACTTGCACTGCACATGCGCTTGTGAATCTCTCGATTCTCGAGATTACTGGAAAACAAAATTGCTGGAAACTTGCTTTCCCGTCTGAAAGACAATTTGTTTGGAGCTGCGTAAATTGGCTCTACGCCAGCTACACGAATGACGCTAACACGATACAAAATCCCCCAAGAAAGTGATTGCTTCAACGTTGGCGCAAAATTCCTTTTTTGGGGGAAAGGGGAATCACCGTACAAAATTCCCTGACTTTTCAAGATTTTGACTAAAATATTTTAATTCACTGATTTTCCCCCGACTTTTCCAGGTAGCGTGGCAACCCTGTCCTTACTGGTTTGGCCCAGAATATTCACGAAGGCAAGCCAAAAACTATAGAAACCCTGCCTGTACACAGAGCAGCAATCTAACCTAGCAGTCTGTCGAGGTGTCTCATCCAACGAGGCTGCGCAAAATCCGAAGCCGGAAATACTTTACATTGCTTTCTATGGGACGAAAGACTGCTGCTCTGCTTGGTCACATAAAATTTAAGTAAAAATGGTTATTCGCTGCAGCGCCTATGGATGTAAAGAAAGTTTCGTGAAAGGAGGACCTGTAACCTTTCATAGGTAAGTTAAAACTGCATGATTTATTATTTTATTTTCAGTATTTCTGTCGTTTTACTATCTCTGTTGAATTGGTTGGAAATTTTCAGCCATATTGTACAAGAAAATTGCCGCTGTATATGACATTTTCAGCATGTATTATTAGCATCAAAATGTATTAAATACTGTGACACTATTTACTGGATTCATCCTTTACAAATAATTGAATTTTATGTTTTTTTTTTCCGTGTATTCCGTTGAAATAGAAAGCTGCGCCAATTGGCGTTAACTTTTTTTCGCCAAGTCGTACGCGTTTTGATTTCATAAACAATTACTGCTTGCGATAAAAAAAGAAAAATGCTGTTATTAGCATTAAATTATTGAGAAAAGATTGTGCGATATGTTTACTTTGTTAAAAAAAAAAAAAAAAAAAAAAAAAAAGCTGAAGATCTTGATTCATGCAACATTGAACATAAACAGTTAAACAGCATTATTTTAAAAATCAGATTACTTTTATAGAGCTCAATGCTGTATCATTATTTTCTATAAAATCAATTAAAATAAAAATAATCTGGATTATAATTCTGTCTCATCTACGATGCTGTTAGAAATTTAATGTAATTGAAAAAATGTGATGTAAAAAACTTAACCATATTTTAAATAGTATTTAAAAAAAAAAGGAGAGTGAGAGAATTTTTAACTGTAATATCGTTTTGATCCTAATAATAAATACTGAGTTGAAGTTTGTTACCGTTTGATACATATTCAATATAAAATATTTGTTATAGTTAATAAGATGTATTCATCCCCCCATGACATACACATGAGTGTGGAAATCAGTAATTAAGATTGCATTATTTTGTTCCAGTAATATAATCTCAGAAAAGAGAGTGCATTATTATGTTTCAGTAATATAATCTCAAGAAAAAGAGAGGTGGTGCTCATTTTAGAAGTTGAACCTGCATGCAGTGAAATATAATTTTGTTAATAGATTTTTATTAAGAAAGAATTGTTGATGACAAAATCAAACTAACTTTTTTCAACATTGCCTTGAGCACAAATTTTTCCCATCATTAACAATCTAATTTGAAAGTGACTCATTTTCTTTTAAATTTCACTTGACCCTCTTTTCTCTAGAAGGCACCTTTTGACCTGTAATTTGATGTATTACAAATTGTGTTTTTGAATGTACGTACTATTGTAAAATAATTTTAAGAGAACTTTAAGGTGGTCCAAAAGGACCCTTTGATTTCCATTCCAATACAGAATCACGAAATAAGAATTCTCATGTAATAAAAGGCTAAAGGGAAAAATGCCATCCCCATATACAGACAATTATATTATTGTTTTGACTCTAATTGTAGGTATATTTACATTTCTTTCCAATGAAAAATTACTACACTTTTAAAATTTCATGATATTTTTCAGCATGTACTTAAAGAATTCTTAAATGATTCTGAAAAATTACCATTCTTCTGCAGTATACCTGTATGACCTGGAATACATATATGTGTGTAATTTAATACTTCATTTGCTACTTTAGTACAATTAAGTTTTTTTTTTTTTTTTTTTTTCATTTATAGTTTCCCTAAAGATCCAGAAAGGCAAAAACAATGGGAAGTACAACTGCGGCGGGAAAACTTTAGAGTAACCAAGTATTCAAAGTTATGTTCGAAACATTTTACATCAGACTGCTTCGATAGAACAAAGTTTGGAGGCACCTGGTTAAAGGCCACAGCAATTCCAACGTTATTTAATTTCCCTTCTCACTTACAAAAAAAATGTTTACAAGCGAAAGTCGTCAAAAACGCCACTTCTTCAGCCCAATCCAGAAGAGTCTATGCACTATTCAGAAAGTAAGTGATGCTCTATTTTCAATTTCAGTATCATGTACTTAACATACTTATTTATGTATGTGAGAGAGAGTCGAGGAAGAAATTGTACTTTGATTAAGTCTAACATAACATGCTGTGATGTAGTAATTTTTTTCTTTGAATTCTATTAATTGTATTGGTTTCAATATGTTAAATAGCATTTTTAGAGAGAAAAATAGTTTTGTAAGTAGGTGAATTTTGTTGCATTCTAGACTTATATTCAGTTTAGAATTTCCAGAATGCTTGTAATTTACTTTTAGCCTACTTTTTTATTTATGTTTATGTTTCAGTTTCATTTGTAAATTAAATTTAATGAACTTAGCTTGAAAATTTTATGCAATTGCTAATTAAAGCAACTAAAACACTTGAACTATTACACGATAAAGTAATCTGAGATTATGGGAACTTTTAAAACTAATTTAGTTTATATCTACAACATCTTGCCTGAACTCTAATATTTTGCAAGGTATTGAAAGCTTGTGAAGAAAAACCCATTATTTATTTTTTACTAATTTAAGATGGCAAATTACCCTCAAAATCTCCTTGCTTGCTATAAATATTCATGTTTCATAACTTTTAATTCTGTTTCCTCTCAGAAAGACATTACACAAATAAAATAATCCTTTTCCTCCACACCAAATCAAATTATTAGCCATAAAATTACTGAAATGCGTTATTAAGCTCCATATGAGTATGATTTATAAATAATAATAATTATTATTAATATAACACTTATATTTAATATTTCGTCTTGAAATCTGTTGTAGGTTCAGCAAGTACATCTGTAACTCCTGAAAGAAGGAAACGGCTGCATTACTTGGGAGATTTTAATGATGAGGATGTTACATCTCCAAGTAAAGCAAAAAAAGTTCTTGAAATAGCTCAGCAGCAAAATATCAGCATGAAAAGAAAAATTAAATTGTTAGATAAACAGAACAAAAGACTGAAGAAGCGTGTGGCCTCTTTAGACGAGCTGCTGACTGAGTTAAAAACTCAGAATTTAATATCTGATTCAGCGTCAACAATTTTAGGGGTAAGCTTAACAAATTTTTACAATATCCAGTTTTGTATCTCTCTTACAATTATTTTATCCATCATTTCCCAGAGAAATTGTGCTTTTAACTATAGTTTTGGTTTTTAACTATAACTTAATTTAGGGGTAATTCATAAATGATGTTGCACATTTTCATAAAATTTTTTATCCTCCTTCCCTTGCCAAATGTCAGGCTATTACATAAACATATACTTTCACTTCTGATTTAAAGCTGGGAAATGCTGATCTAAATCATTTAGTAAGAATCAGTAGAATTTTTATTAATCCCAGGAAAGTTGTTTTAGCCCCAATAGAAAGAAATACCCTCAATTTTTGTAATTTCAAAATTTAATCAGCTGATTTTAAATGCTGTTTTTTAACCAAAATGTGTGTGATGTCACACTTTTTATTACTCTTCTTCCCCCTTGTGACAATTGCACAAACCCCCTCCGCCCTCAGAGCATGACATCATTTTTGGATGGCCCCTTATTATGCACCATAAGATATAATGAATACTTGCTGAGAATTTTCAAAATGTAATAATCAGAAAAATATGTCTAATCAAGTAATTCTTTGATTAAGGAAATGACATGCAGGGTGCAATGTCACAGATTGTATTTCCATTAGTGTCATGAAAATATTCCATCTGTAGGTTTTTTTTTAAATATCTTTGAGGTGACCATTACATAAAAATGTTATAAGTTAATGCTAAAACTCATCTATGTTTTATTATATTATATTTAAAATTTTTATGTTTAATATTATATTAAAATCTTAATTTTTTTGCTCCCTTCCTCTAGTTGTCTGGAGCTGCAGGGGACTTCATAGAAAGACTTGAATGTAGTAATTCAAGAGCTGAATATTCAGAAGACCTCCGAACATTTGCCATGACTTTAAATTTTTATTCGGCAAAAGCATATAATTATGTCAGACAAATGTTCAACAAAGTAAAATATTTTCTTTAATATTTTACTTTCATATATTTAAGTAAACATAATTTTAATTAATTAATTCAGTATAATTTATCTTTTTGTATCATAAACTATATTAAGTTTGGACAGTAATAGTTTATAGTTCCAGCTGAAAGTCAACAGTCTGTAAGTATATATTTCATCAATGGCATAAATACATGTAATACAATGTGATTTTCTTTGTCTCTTTAGGATGCAATGCATTAAAATTAAACGAGATTTTTTTACCTTCTCAATATTATAACAGTAGTGCAATTGATTTTTTTAACGTTATTCAAATTAAAGTTTCCATCTCATTTTTTATTATTTATTTTAGATTTTCTTCCTAAAATTATTTAACTTAAACATCCTAAACAATGGTGCAAATAATTTAAAGCGATTATTAAAAATATAGATAAAATATTCAGGAAAAAAGGGGTTAAGTTATATCTAAATATAATTGTAAAAAATCGAACAACCTAATTCGAGGTCGTTGTCTGCTGACTGCTAGGAGATGGAAATAAAAAGCACTACTTGCCATATCAAAAGCGGGCCAAACTGGCGATGAACAGTCTAAGCTATCACTCCCCAAGAGCGCCAAGAGCATTAGTCATGTGGTATATGTTGGAGACATCCTAGCAGACGAATTCTCTGTGGGTGAGCCGTCTACCTGTTATAAGAAGTCGTTGGTCTCATCAGTGTATCATGAGTTAGTGCATCGAGAGTGTGCATCCTTGAGGCAATCAAGTGTATTGTCGAGTGCATAGCGAATTGTAACATGGAGAGTCTCGAGAGTATGTTAAGTTCTGGGAATGACTGAAGTGAGTCGGGAGCTGTATACTCTACTGCTTTTCCGTGAGTAATTACTGGCTAATAAATTGTGTTTTCATTCATTAAGTGTTATCGTTAATCATTCCAAATCCATGATCCCGTAGAAATGCAACAATGTGAAATCTTAGGACGAAATGTGAAGTAAAGAATTTAAACATAAATAACAAAAAATAAAGGACAAGTTCATTACACTTAGAGTACAAAATCTCCCTATTTATCAAAAACAAAAAGCAATTTGCTTAACTGAATATTCATTTTGCCATTTAATTAGAATACTGAGAAAATAAATGAAAGCCATAATTAAATTTTATGGCTGCACACAGGCTATTACTGCTATTTGCAACAGTAGCAGTAATAACCTGTATGCACTCATCGCCTATTAAATGCCTCCATAATAAAATAATCACCACTTAGTAGTGGAGAAAGCCAAAATGGCTAGCGAGATGTGTAGAGCATTTCTTTGGTGATATCAATATCACTCTGGTATAACCTTATTTCAGCTTCTACTTTTGACTTTTTATTATCACTAAAAATATGGGACATAAAAGATGATAATTTTTCAAAAGCTAATATTGTACTGGTTTTAGCTCTGGATCTAATGCTGTAAAACTAATTAGATATGAATTTTTAAGGGGTAATTTGTTTCATATGCTGTGCTGTATTAGCTTTCATCAGAGAAATTTGGAATTCTTTTGCTATTGGATGATTTTTTGATAATTTCTTCAGGAGAGTGGAGTTGAATCCTTCCCCACCATACTTCAGCAGTGAGTTACAAAAAACACAATATGCTTGTCCAGCAATGTTTATTTTCTTGCACCATGTGCCGATGGTATCCCCATTACCATCTCTCCGTTCAATCCAATTCCACCTAAATGCATTCCGGACACCTTCTTCTAATTGTATAATATCACTATTTATATCGAGAAATTTCATAGTGAAATTCTCTTGCGTACATAAATAAAAAAAATATTTCAATAAACGAAACGAAAAATTTACACGTGCATCAATAAATGAAACGAAAATTTTACACAGCGGAGGAAAAAAAGTTGAGAAGCGATCAATGACAAATAGCTAATACAGTGAAAAATTCCCCTTCTCTACTTATTGGCGCCACGCCAGGAGAGATAAGACCTTTGAACCCAGAGTCACGTGATCGCACATCTGGTCGAACGAAGTCTCTTCCTTTTTTTTCTGCCGCGCCTACTTGCCGAAAAGAATCTGGGCATCACCATCAACGACAAGCTCACATGGCAGCATCACATCCAACAAATCAGGGGTAAAGCGATTAAAGTCATGAAATGTTTATATCCTATGATAGGGAAATATTCAAAACTTTCGTTGGACAAGAAACGACTTATTTATCTAGCCACAATCCGACCCATCATGATGACGTACGCTTCGCCAGCATGGACTACCGCTACGAAGGGTGAAATCCAAAAATTACAAGTTGTGCAAAACCAATTTTTAAGAATTATCACAAATGCACACCCATATGTGAAGAACAAACGTCTCCATGAAGATTTAAAAATGGATACAATAGTGGAATATTTAAGAAGAACTAACACGGCATTTTATGACGCCGCTAAGGAGTGCCAACATATGGACATTTTTCAACCTATTTCACTATGAAATTTTACACGAGGACAGGCACCTCCGTCCATATGCCGCTTTTCTACTCAGTGGAAACCAGGATTTTCCAACATAATTTGTGTTTTTAAGTATGTCGTACTCTGAAAAACTTATTTGACTTGTAAATAATGATGTTTAGAAATCTTAGCCGGATGATCATGTGACACACACAGCCACGCCCAAAAGATATTACTTATATTTTTCCTGTATATACTATTTTACTTTTTGGAATCGTATTTTATTTTCTGCATTTATGACTGCAACACACACCTTTTATGAACTGATTTAGTACTATTTTATGTATAACTATTGTAAAACTTCAGATTTACAGCGCTACGATGCCTGTATACCTCATCGCCAACCAGAGGTCTTATCGCTCATCACGTGACATTGGTCACACCCCCTGCATCTGCTATCCTGTCTCCAGGGGGGGCCCAAGAGCGATGCGCAGTGCAGGGAGAAAGTTATGCCACATGCGCATGACGTCATGTGGGTGACAGCGTTAGTTCTTGGCGTTTGTTTACTTTCGTTGCATCAACAGTTTGATTTGATTTGTGTGTTAATTTGCTATTATACCTAGGCGGAAGTGGCAAATTGTGCTATAGCGTTGTGTCAGAATTATACACGTTAATACGTTTTTTGGCGGAAAACACTCTTTACAACCAGATAAAATAACTATTTTTTAAAATAACTATTTTTTTTTTTTTTTTTTTTAATGTTTAGTAATTTTCATACATAAATGTGATGTAATTTTACATTTATTTTTCATTTTACTGCTATTTTACATTTAAATTGAAAAATTTCTCATTTTAAATCATTTTTTATCATAATCTTCATTTTGTGTATGAGACTTACATCGTAGTGAGATATTTAAACTCAGTGTCATGTTTACCAATACTGAGTACCTGAATGATTAGTTAATAAATTCGCGTATCCAACTTCATTCACATGTTTTGGTTACTTTCTTTACATCCCAAACGTAATTCTATGTATTGAAGCAGCAGCGTCTGGGTTAAGCTTTGCGAACTAAGTAAACTGATACATGCCTCACCGTGAGGAAAGAACAATTTCTCGACCACACTATGATGCAAACATCGAATGAGTGAGTGACATATTTCCTTCACTGTTATTTAACTGATGCATACAGGTATGTGTGATGTAATTTAATTGATATAACTTACACATGCTTGAACCTGAAGGAAAACAAATCTGTGTATAATGCCAGAATACAAATAGCGAAAGAGTAAGTAAGATATTCGGTTCAGTTTTATTTAACTGCTGCATATGTTTTAATTTTAATTCCATATAACTTGTTTTTAATTATAAGAGAAAGAAAAATAATTCAATATTGAACACATATTTCGAGTATAACAAAAGTATTTTAAGAAATAACCTGATAAAAATACATTAGTAATTAAAAATATTTAATTTGTGTACAGGCTGAATTGAAATTAAGATGTGGTGGTGTATTTAATTATGGCAAAGCACACTAGGGCTATCTGCATAATAGGTGTGATGCCTTCGTGGAGGACCTTCTCAGGGAAACTGGCTCGTATACACGTTACGCATGAAGAAAACCACGAAAACACCTATGCAGCCAGCCCGTTCGCGGGATTCGGACTGAACTACCAGTGTTCAGCGACTTTACCGCTCGGCCGCTGGTGGGCCGAAACTAAGATGTAGAGCAAGTTTATTATTATTATAATTGTGCGTATATGTGTAAGAAAATGTATTTTAATTGTTCCATTTTTAATGTATGGAAGGAAGAATAGGATGCCAATATCGAAGATTATTTACTATAGCAAATAATCACGTCAGGATAAATGTTATATAGAAATCTGTGGGAGTGTAAGGGATTATAAGAGTACTTTTAGATTATACTGAAAATATACACACTTCTAAAATCTGAAGTGAATCAGTATGAAGTGACTTTTCACTTTAAAAAGAATGAGATAAGTATACTATTTAAAAGTATAATGACGGATATTAAGAAATTTGTAGAATTTTATAGTATTTAAATATGAATTTGTTAAGTCAAATCTTTTTATATATATTTTTGCTTGAGATATGTAATTTAAACTGAAATCACGATCATATATTTCTCATGGAATGTCAAAGTTCATTTGTATTAAAAAAAGTGCATGAGCAATGAAAATAAATAGAATAATACTTTTTGATTATGTTTTTACCATGGTCTTAGCAGTTATGCCATCATGTGTTCTGTTCAACAAGATTTATTTAGTGCAAACAATACTACGAAAAAATATTGAAAAATACCTTGTTTTACAATATTTATTTCCCTTAATTAACTTAAATATCGTTTTTCATTTTCTAATGCTTTCCTTTACGAAAAGAATTTAATGTTTACAATTATTTTCAGCATTCGTACGAATTCTGTGCATAAAATAAACATTTTCTCAGGTGTTCAGGTTCTTCAGGTGTATCTACCACATATAAAATGATCATTTTGCTTTAGTTTACATTTTTTCCATTACCAAAATCATGTAGCAGACGCGTCGGCCGATGCGTCTTGTCTTCTGGGTGACGTCACTACCAGCAACCAATGGCACGCTTTTTCCGTTCCTGGCCTAACCTTAGTATATTAAAGAACCTTATCCTGTCTCCACGAGAACTACGTTCGGCATTTCCTTACCTGCAGCGCTCCTAGAAGCACCAAAGTTCGATAGCCGGAACACAACCTGCGATTTTGCAGGTTAATCGCTGCAAATAAAGCAAGTTGGAGTTGCCGAAAAGAATCCAGAAGAGAATGTCTGAGAACCGGGGGAATGAGTCATAACTCGCAATAAGGAAGGAACAAAAAAGAAGTTTTTTCCCCCTTTTCACGCATTATCACTGCCTTTGGAGAAAGAAAGGAAAAGTTTTAACCACACACACTGACCTTGCGTTTTCTGCTTTCAAAGCAAACAAAATTACCCAGATCAAAATAAATAATTCATTATTATTCCTACTTCCTTTTGAACGACAATCCCTGGAATTTCCGGGTATCGAAGTTCAAAATCCCCGGAATTCCGGGGTTTCCCAGAGCAAACACCCCTGAATAAATCACAAAAGACTTCAAAATAATATAATTTTTGGCATTATGAGATTTTAAATTCTGATTAGCTTCAGATTTACAAATTTTTTAGTTGAAGTTCCAGAGGCATTAATGAGAGTTAAATATACAAACATTTTTTATTTTGGCTTATACCTCAAGAAGTAATAAATTTGTAATAAATAAAATGGTTCTCAAGCATAATGACACATATGAGAAAAGATCCCTTCATAAAAAAACAAACCAAGATCTATTTTTGTTCAAAATATTCAACTAAAACTGTAGTTTTATTGGTGTAAATCCTGATGTACAGTCTAGTGACACATATGAATGGCCCTATGAATAACCATTGTTGTGATCAGGTCACCTATTTCAGCCGAAGGATTAGGCATTGATAGTAATATTGGACAGAAATTACAAATTTTAAATAGTCCATACTGTGGAGATACGGTACTGCCACAAATGTTTGTATCATCTAGAAACTGAATATGAGCCCAGTGGTTTGAAAGGTGGTATGAATTTAAAGTTTTATTTGACTTCAATGGACACAGCTGAAAATCTATTCAAGTTCTGTTATAGTAATGCTGTAATAAAATTCCAGAGTAACCCAAGTACCATTCAGAATAAAAAATCTACACATCAGTAGTAGCTGGCTTGGTTAAGCATTATATTGTCCAAAGCAGTAAAAACATACTGATTGGTTTAAATGCTGAAAGAAATTATTAACACATTCTACTTAGATTATAATTTAGGTCAATAATTAAAGTATTATGTATATTAGCAATACTTTTGCTAGATAATCTTATTATGAAAGAGGGAGGAGCAGTATTTAAATATGTTTATTGCTCATTTTATAACAAAGATACTTTCATCAATTCCATTTGTGATACTAATTCAATATATTTCAACATTTTGAAATAATTTTAAAAATGATATTCTGCTATTCACCTGCCTTTTTAGGTTCCAAGATATACACTGATGTGCATTTAAATGATTTTAGATGATGATTGCATTTAGATGCACTGATATTAATTTAGATTACAGTCATGTAATTTACTTGTAATTCATGCATATCCTAATATAAGGGAAAAAAATTAAACCATGAAGATTTCAATACTAGCAAAGGATACTATCATTAATGTGCCACCAAATATAAACATAAAAAAGAAGTCTGCTGGTCGTCCTCGAAAGGAACCTTCTTCTAGCATACGGCAATATCGATATGTGAAGATGATGTTGAATAAAAAATTGAAGCCAAATGTACCGAAAAAAAGGAATGTTGTGAACAGTCGCCATATCTGAAAAAATATGTTATTTTTAATACATTAATATCATTTAATAGGCTCTGACAGGCAAATAGTACATTTCAAAATAGATGACAAAAAATTAAATGCTTCATAAAAGAGCAATAAATGTACACATATTTATATTAAATATGATAAATTAATTCTATTCTGTGATTCTGGACAAAATTTCTCTTAATGTTAAAAGTAATGGGTGAGAAATATGAGAGGCAGAATATGAATTAAAATTTTTTTAATGAATTTTTAAGTTTCATTCTTTTCTATTTTTAAGTCAAACTAAGTTTTCCTCTAATATCGAGAGAATTTATTAACTTGCACTCTATTATATGTAATGATAAATTTTAACAGTAATAAAATCTATATATATTTCTTTTCTAAATTTACAGCTTAATAAATGCAATGACAAAATAATTTTCTCCAATGACAAAATAATTTTCAGTCATTACAGACGTTCTCAAGATGTCATACTGCTGTTATAACTTTTATTATTTAACTTCTAACGGAAAAAAATAAAAAGATAAATACTTTTGAATGAACCGAATCATACTTTTTACACTTACTTAAGTTAAATTACTGGTTATAGCAAAATATTCAAGAACTGAAGGTTGCTTTTGTGGAAGACCTTCTAGTGGAAATATGGGTTAATATTTCACATAAGGAGAAAAAGTCACATGCAGCCATTAATTCAATCATAAAAAAATGATCCTCAGATAAACTATCAGCATTCCAGTTATCCACTGGCAGCCCACTTTTCAAGATAGAAGTTTTACAGTATAATTCTATTGATCTCTATTGCATCATTTTATGATAAAAATATATTTCAGGTTACCCCTTGGCGAAAATTGGGGATTTCTTGGTGCCATTTCTGTTTACATCCAATACCCTCTTCAGTAAAATGGCGTCCAAAACATAATTAAAACAAAAAATATATAATCTCAATAAACTGCATTTTAAATCATACAAGGAAATAACATAAAAATGGAAATGCATGTTATGTACTCTATGCAATACAAAAAGGAAATATCAACTTATTTAAAAATTTCTGTTTCTTCAATATGTCAGAAACACAGAATTCCTTAACAACATACAAAAGCTATTTAAAATTATCTAAACTACACACATGTCCATAAATTAAGGATAATTCTTCAAGAATCCTAAGCAAATTTCAGGAAGTAACCAGATGACACCGATGGTACATCATAATTACGAGAGTGTAAGAGAGTGATATATAAGGAATACAAGCAAAGAAGTAAAATTGTTCACAAGCGCTTTATAAGCATTTCAATGCAATAACCGATTAGTTATGACACAAAAGACACATTTGGATGGTTTTTTACGTGGTAGAATTATCAGCCATCTGGAATGTGGGCGTACCCAACTGGAAGTATCAGACGAACTTGGAATTGCCCATAGTGTCATCTCCAGGCTTTGGCAACGATTCCAAGATGATGGGAATGTGAGTAGACATTACAGCACAGGTCGTCCCAGAGTTACAACGCCGAATGAGGACCGCTATTTGGCAGTTACTGCCAAAAGAAACAGGTGGAGCACAGCCTCAGACCAGTCTCGTCAGCTCTCTTCAGCCACTGGTACGACAATTTCAAGGCAGACTGTGTACAGACGCTCAGGGCAGATTGGTCTATATGCTCGTAGACCACTTAGATGCGTTCCACTTACTGCAACTCACTGTCGCCTGCGGTTAGCCTGGAGTAGAGAGCATGCATTGTGGACACCGCAACAGTGGGCTTGTGTGATGTTTTCCGACGAGTCCAGGTTATGCTTGCAGTCTGATTCTCGCCGGACTTTCATATGGAGAGCTCCAGGTACCCGTTACCACCAAGAAAACATCATTGAACGACACTGTTACGGTGGTGCAGGAGTGCTCGTTTGGGGTGGAATTATTCTGGGTTCCAAAACTGACCTGCATGTTCAAATTGGAACCATGACAAGCCAAATCTATCGGGATGTCATTCTGGAACAACATGTACATTTGTTTCGGGGCACCATAGGCGCACAATTTGTGTTTATGGATGACAACGGCCGTCCTCACCATGCAAACATCGTAAGGGAATGCCTTCAATCTGAGGATATCACCCGCATGGACTGGCCAGCATTCTCACCGGACTTGAATCCAGTAGAGCACGTGTGGGACATGCTTGGCCAACGAGTTGCAGCCCGTCAATCTCCTCCTACATGTTTACCGGAACTTCGGAGAGCATTGCTTTTTGAGTGATGTAATATCCCCAAGATCAGATCGATAATTTGATACTCAGCATGCTTAGGCGTTGTACGGACTGTATTGCATCATCTGGGAGACATACAATGTATTAACAATCATACCAAAAATGTAATATTGGTTTTTTGTAAATAGGTTTTTTTTTTTTTTTTTTTTTTTTTTTTTTGTAATTTGCTCCAGGGAGAAAAAATTGCTAATTTTTTAATAATATCAAACATATAGTATCTTTTTTTGCTCTTTACCTTTTGTTTAATGAATAAGCTTTACAAATAAGTCAAATTTATTTTGCTTCTAACTCTTCCTTTGCCTGATTTTGCATTACCTTAATTTATGGACATGAGTGTAGAATCTGTATACTGCCATCACCACATAAATTCACAAAAGTAAAATGAAAAATATTCAATGTACTGCCGGACTGTTGATGGCATTTCTTTCGAAAATCCCTTTTTTATTACACCCCACATACCTTTCATAGTGTTGATGTAAGCTCCAGTTTCCAAATCCTTAACACGCGAGCGTGCCCGCACGATTAAACAAACCTTTCTCAAAGCGCGTATTTCACGCAAGTTGTTGAGGTCCAGTGTAGTCGTGTCTTAGATCGACTTCTTTATGTTTCCGAAGTTTTTCCGTTTGGACTTTATGCGGAGTCCTTATTTTGATGTGATCGGACCTTTTAGACCCAGCGAGCCTATTCGTGTTACTATTTCATAGTTGATTTGTGATAGTATAGAAAGTGGCAAAAATGTCACGTTATTTACTATACAACGAAGAAAGGTTGCAAAAGTTATCAGAGGTATTAACTGGTGAAGAATGTATTGGAGAAAATGAGGATGGAAGTGATCATGAATTTTTAATTCATACGATTCTGATTCAGACAGTGATATAGATTCTGAAAACGAGAGTGAAAAAGACAAATTTTTTGGAGGGAAAAATTATCGGATGCAAAAAAGAAAAGAAAAAAAATGCATTGTTTGTCCAGCAAAAAATAAAAAAAAAAAAAAACAAAAAAACACTTTTTTGCAGAATGTGAAAAGTATTTGTATTTGGTACACATGGAAACACTTTCTTCAATGTGCTGCTCCCATTTGTTGTTGTACTTTCATCTGTGTCTATTGTGCTAATAAAGAAAACCCCTGTGCTTATAAATAATTAGATTTTCTGTTCCTTTAAGAAATTTTGTTTCATGAAAGCACTTGAAGAAATTAAAAAATTTAACTTACATATTTTTTAAAATTTTATCATAAAATTTATTACTGACATAAATGTCACTTTTTTTCTGAATATTTACATTTTCTTCAAAAAACAAGAACTGGGTCTTTTGGACCCAGTGCGCATGCTCGTGTAACTCATATGAGCGTGCGTGCTCGCGGGTTGAATCTCACAATGTAATTTACCGAGAGGTGAAAGAAGCTATTTAAATTTTAATTTACACACTAGTCAATCAATGCTTTCTTTCCAATCGCTTAAAGTATACAGAAACTTCAGGTTAATCACACCACCAGCAGACATTTTATGGTGTAAAGCACAAAATAAGCAACGTACTTCCTAACCAACAGCCAACACATAAATAAGCCTTCACAAATATTTTCCCATCAGTCAAATACACTGCAATCACAGAATGACTCATGTCATAATAGAGTTTCCATAACATTCAACAACTCGGGTTATCATAAATGAAAAAAAAAACATGGCGATAATTCAAGGGATACCTTAAAATATAGACTAACCCATTTTATTTCTTACTGAAGAATATCTAGCATATTTCTGAATAATTTCATTATAATTAAAAGGATAAATACTTCAATATTCTTTTAAGCAATTTTCTCCATCAAATTGTAATTAAATCATCAAACACAAAATTTATTTAAACGTATTTTTAAATTATTTGCCATAACATTATATGTAGCTACGTAATATATAAAATTTTTTTAAAAAAATTATGCATGCATATAAAATATGAAAAAATATTATGGTAGATGATTAGCAAAAACATACCTGGTAATTTTTTATAATTAAATCTGGATTAAAATACAACTGAAATGGAGATAAAATATCCAGTTGCTGTAAAATAAATACACATTCTTTTTACTTTAAAAATAATCACTCAGGCAAACAAATGTTACATATTTAAGAAAACAAGCAACAAAATATAATGCACACATCACTTAACTTTTTCATCCAAAAACATTAGAAACAGCAAAAGTTTATTAAAATTTTATTAAACTTATTGTTATAAAGAATTGGATTTTCAATCGAAAAATTCATGAGGTTTTTTCGTCCAGAAATCCTGAAGGGAGGGGGACGATACAAATTAGCAAGACCAAGTTCTCTTACAGGGCTTGCTTCAAACTCTGTTTTTTTTTTTTTTTTTTTTTTTTTAAATAAAATCTCAAGATATATCATTCAGACACCATAAAGTTTATAAATTAAAATAATTAAAAGTAGAAAAAATATTTTTAGATTTTTGTTTTGCTTTGAAGTGCGCTTTTAGAAAAAAAATAAGAGGCATCAAGCTGTCAGTATTTCATTTAATTTTATTTAATTAGTTTAGAATTATTTGTTAAAATAGCACTTTTTTTAATTTTTAGCAAATTATGCATTACTTTCAAACCAATAACTCATTAATCTGATTTTCTTTCAAAAGCTCATATTATTCTCTGCAACTTTAGGTGAACAATTCGAAACTGTTTAAAATTAATGTACACCAGTCGTAAAAAAAAGGGGGAGGAAAGGGGACAGTGCCATATTTCCTGTTCTACTGGGTGGGCTCCCTGATGAAATTCAAAATGAAATTTTTTTGTACTATATGGGTTGCATTTTCTTTTTTTTCTTGTTACTTGTAATCTGTTGAGTTTTGTTTGGTGGAGTCTGCATACCAACCGAAGTTTAGGTCGCAACTATACGAGATGTTTTAAGAGCATTGGCGTAAAATGTATTTGGTCGAACCTGTGTGCTTTGGACTAATCTTCTGGCTTCAGCGTATGTGTAGTAACTTTTGCAGTCTGCACTTCTTTTTTTGACTTCCATTTTGGACACAAACGAGAAAATGCTGGGTGTTTCCTGTTGGAAAATATGACCTATTGTAACCCTTTTTTTCTGCATCATCTCTCCTCCTTGAAATATTTCTAACTTTTACATAAGGCTTAGTTCTTATTTTAAAGGGATATAGTAGTTACTTCTACTTCATTTTTCACTGCCACTGTTGGTATTAAGAACGGACTGTTCCAGCCTAATTAAGATGCAAAAACGAAACTTGAAATTACGTCATCTGGAAAGCTGAGTCGTGCCAATAGCTGATTGGTTGCCGTGAGATGACGTCATGTCTACTTCAGATATAAGTATCTCGCGTCGCTCTGGGTTATTCCTTCTAGTTCCTGTTTCTTTGCTCCTTGGTGTGCCATTCCAGCCCCCATTGGAAGACGATAATGAGATGCGTTCCGTCCAGTGATAAGTGCCGTGGTTCCAGTCTACAAGATGACTTTTCCTGGATTCTCAAAAGAGGCTACGATGTGAGCAACTGCCGTGGCCGGCATCCTGTCTTCATGAAGGCGGCATCCTCAACACAAGTGTTTTTCCCGAATTAGCGGCGATGTTTTCTCAAGCTGTGATTTCTTGTGTGTAACTACAGTGAGCGGCGTTTTCGCGGTTTAAGTGCTCTCAAGGATTTAGTTAAATTTTTCAGGTCCCTTCCTGACCACGAAGCAAGGACTTATTGATTGTGTAGCGAATTTCATTATAACTGCCCAATTTCTGTTCAGTGATATGTTTTTCGCGTATTGAATGCCAGTATTTGGAGATCAGGTAAAATATTCTTTAATAGTGTAACATTCTTTAAAGGAAAACCCTTGGAGTTAATGAATTATCAACTAAGAGTAATTTTTTATAATGATTATGCTATACTCTTTAAGTTTCTGATATTGATTAAATTTATTCATTGTGTTTTAATTTTTATATATTGTTAATAAATTGGTTAAGTTTAAAACTTTTGTCTTCAATGTCTGCACAGTACATAACCTTAGGGAGCTTCTATTGCTACTTTTGCTAAAAGTTTTATTTTACAACTTTAAACTTTGCTTTTGCATCATTTCCACTTGCAATTTATACATAAAGGTGCAGCGGTACAATTTTCTCAATGGTGACCAATCTGTGCACGTTGGGTGAATGTGAGGCTGCCACGAGAAGACATCTTAGAATGGCTGAAGTGCTGGCATTGGAAGCATCGCATAGGATTGGGAATATAAGGTCTTACAGGACAATTTATGTATCCTGCCTTAATATTCTTAGGCAGATCAGTCAAGTTGAAAGTCCAGATCACATTTTTGTATCGATCAACCGATCTTCCTTATGCTGTTATCACATACGATATTTGCTGCCGGAACAAAACGTTTGGAGGAACAGTTCTGAGAATCGTTCTTCGTGAAATCGGGTTATCATCTTTACTTGGTAAACAGGCTGAAAGCCAAACAAGAATCAGTTATCGCTCAGACTGGTGAAAGTGATGTTTGCTTTTTCGTGTTTTTTTGCATAGCTCGCACTCTTTTCATTTTAAACTTTTGTTAGTTATGAAAACACTTCTGGTTATAGCAATCAATTACATCAGTAAAAGCCAAACTCTGTATATACTAAGACTAGTTTAAAATGTGTGCTGGATAAATCTATTTATCAGACATTACTTATGTGTATTTTCTGATGTCTGCAGTCCAATGAAAATTTGATGGCTCACTGTAAAATTTGTGACCTGGTAAAAGCATTTTCTTGACCAACTTTATGGCTCATAATTACTGCTCTGTTTCTAAATATAAACAAACAGGCAAAAAAAAAAAAAAAAAAAAAAAGACCTTCTGACAAAAAATCTATATGGCTGATATTTACATCCTCCCAGTCAGCAGATACTATTTAGCAAAATAAAGATTAAATAAAGCATATGAATACATGAACAATCAAACATGTGCGAGTTGTTTACTGTCCCACAGAACACACGGTAATATACCTTAACCACATTAATTATACCAACTCTAGAAATTAGGAGGTGCACATCATGAGTTTGTTTTATATGTTTACAGCAAAGCCTCGAGGAATATCTGCCTAACAGGAGGGATCCCTAACAGGAGTAGAAGATTTTTTAAAACTGGCTCATATACCAGTTACAAATGAGGAAAACCAAGAAAACGCCCATGTAGCGGCATTCTAACCTCAGACAGAACTACCAATGTTCAACGACGCTTCGGCCACTAGTAGGCCCGTGCACATAATTGGAAAGTACAATTCATTATGTAAACACAGATGAAGGTGATAATCAGTTATGCTCTGCTTTAAGTAATCAAATGTTATAAATGCACAGCTGTTGCATTTCTTATTATTTATTAGTCATGTTATATTATGTAGATCATACATATGATATAATTATGAATTAACCCAAAAACAAAATTTGTACACTCTTTAGTACTCAAATGCTCATCAATTATTTTTCAACTGATTATTACATATCCATAATAATTTACAAAGAACTGATGACTACAGTTGCTGCCAATTGCATGATCGTTATATGAATTAGAAGTAACTTCAAATAAACTTTTTGGCAATGTTCCTTTTTGTATTCATACATACACATATACACATCTAGTAAGTCATATATTTACATACAGATAGAGAGGTGCGATGGTTTAGAAGTTGTTGATATATATTTATGGCTAAAATTCCATAAGCGGGGTAAGTTGGCCCCAAACTATTTTGGCCTTCAAAATTTGGCGAATTTTTTAGGCGGCAATGAAAGCACTAAAATGTGATTTTTAAACGTCAACAGAATAGTAACTTACTTTTGCAGTAGTAAAACGCCATTATTTTATGTAAACAGAATAGTAAAATGAGGTGATAAAATACTATATGAGTAAAACAAAGTCCAACAGCTTTGCAAGCAAAAGCATAGTCCTATATATATGTAATTCATCATAAAATAGTAGAATGGACAATTCTTGTAAATAATTATTGAGTAAATAAATGTACACACTTATCAGATGAGAGCACTGCAAAGTCAGTTTTAAAAGTAAACAGAATAGCAAATTATGCGTATTCAGCATCATAAAACTAACTAAAATATTCAAGTTATTATCGTCGTGGAATTCAACACACTAAACAACTTTCGTTCAAAGCTTTAAATATTCCACAACTTTCGACTGCCTCATGCAAGAAACAAAACTTTTAAAAAAAATTAACTAAATAAAATTATATGAAAACATTTTATAAATTATAAACTTCATGTCATATGAAATCCAACATTTTCCCACCAACAACAGCTTAACCTTCTGCAAATATTTACATAAATATAATATTAAACATATACAGTCAAAAGTCGTTAATTCGGACCTCAAAACTAAAATCTATCTGTGCATGCGTCACGTTGACGCATGCGCATACGTGCTTACGCGTGAGCGCAAGACTGCGAAAAAGTAATCTGCGCTTGCGCAGACACATATGCTTTACGACTGCACATATGCGTCTGCGCAAGCGCAGATTACGTTTTCGCGTTCGCATTTAATGTATAATGGAAGGTATAAGCTGTTGGAAAATATAGCTTAATTTTTAAACCTTTTACTGCATCATCTCTCCTCCTTGAAATGTTTATTTAGTTTAGTCCTTATTTTAATGTAATATAGTAGTTACTTCTACTTCTTTTCTTGCTGCCACTGTTTGCATCGAGAACGGACTGTTTCAACCTAATTGAGATGCAAAAACGAAACATGATGTTACGTCATCTGAAAAGCCGATTCGTGCCGATAGCTGATTGGTTGCCGTGAGATGACGTCATTCCTACTTCTGCTATAAGTATCTCGCGTCGCTCTGGCTCAACCCTTCTAGTTCCTGGTTTCCCGGCAAGTGAGTGAGCGGTTTCCAGCCTCTTCAAAAGGATGCATGCAGTCCGGTGAATAAAAATGCCTTGATTCCGGTTTGCGAGATGATGGTTCCAGAATAAAGTCTTTGGTTCCAGAGGCTACCATTCGAGTGACTACCGTGGGTGGCATCCATGTTCTTCAATGAAGGCGGAATTAAAAATACGTGAATGG